TGTGAGTAAAGCTGACAGTGTATTGTACTGGATCTCACTGTAAGGGTGTAGGTATACCTTGTTCAGTTCACTGCAGAGGTGCTGCTTTGAGTTCTTGTTTGGAGCTGAATGTTTCACTGCATTATTTTCTGTGGTATCCTATGAAAATAGATGCAGACAGACAACTTAATCATTTATTCTGCTGTAAAAAAAAATTACCTACAATTTTTTTTATTACATCATTGCTTATTTCAGACAAGAAAAAAACTGTAGTGTTTGCATTTAATAATTTGCTTTTTAAAACAATTTAAAAAAATATAAAAAATTGCAGTGGCGTTTCAAGTCCTGGCTTCTGATGAAGTACTTACTAAAACATAAATTATCCCCATCGGAATAAATTGTCTCAGAAAAGCCCACTAAGGTGGATTTTTTACCTTTCGGGCCTTCTTGGCGCTTGGTTCTGCTTCTTTAACAGCGGCTTCCTTCTCCTTTTTTCTTTTCTGGGCTCGCTCCTCCTTTTTGGCTTGTCGTTTCTTTTCTTTCTCTTCTTCAATCTAAAAAAAAAGAAGCAAGTTTTTCAAAATACACATATACATATGGAAACTACCAACAACCATTTAAAATAAAAATCATTGCTAAATACTTTTGACACCCATCTAAACTAAGCTGTTCGGATGCCAGCCCACCTGCAGCCTCCTTTGCTCTGCCTCTCTGAGGACCTCCTCCTTGAAGGGGGCGCTGTTGGGCACTCCGGGATCCTTCTTTACATGCTTCTTCAATCCCTTCTTTTTAGCCTCTTTTTTTAACTTTCTGTTATGCTCCCGAACCTAAGATCAGAGCATGATATTACTAAGGTTATTGTGGAAGAAGCAGCCATGTAATTTGTGTACATACACATGCAACAGAAATGATGTACTATGACAAACTTGCAAGAAATGTAGTTCAAAGACATTTTATCTACAACGTGGCAAGATAAAAACACTGATATATGACAACAAGCCACCTACCTTCTTCTGTATTTTATAACGTTTGGAGCAGGATACCCTTTTACTCGCTTTCCTTAACTCTGAAGAGAATGAAAGCTTCGTTAGCTCGGTTAAACCTCGTCTAGCCTTAGAAGAAGCTAGAGTAACCCGACCCCGATAAACAACATGGACAACCCGGCCATTAAGATATTAAAAAGCTGCTCTTCGTGGACCATTAACTGTACGTAAACACACTTACTTGGTCTTTTCATTGTGTCGCTGTTGATCTGCCAATGCAACTGAACGTCTCACACGTGGAAACAGCACGAGTGAAGTTAGATGTTGCGTCTCTTCGGCTTCACGCAGTCAGTAAATGTACTTCTGCCCCCTGCTGACTTGGAGGTTTATAACACCTTATTTTCTCAAAGGTTCATTCAGATATTTTCCACATTTTCTCGTATGTTAATTAACCTAAACCTAACCCTAGCCCTAATATCACAACCACAAATCTTAATGGCTGTTATAGAGAATGTTAAGTGATGGACCAACATGATTACAATTCTTGTCGAACACAAAAGCGAAGAATCATTGCAATACATCCAGGTTCAAACAATGAGGATGGAGAGTGTTTTGAATCTGGACTTTGGGACATTCTAACATATAAACAGAAAGAGATAAACCATTCTATAGTAGCTCTGGCTGCTTGTTGAGCGTTGTTGTCTGGCTGAAAAATGAGCCTCCACCCAAATATCATTTCTTTTGCAGCTTCCAAAAGCTTTCAGTCCAGGATTGTCCTGTGTTTGATGTAAAAAAATACCTGATTATGAAGGTCCTGTCATTTATCTGATCGTTATTTGGAACATAAACATTATAGTTTGTTTGGCAACAAATACATCCACCAATATTGAAAATATGTCAAGTCTGATGAGACTCCATCTGGAAAAAAGGACAGCAGATGTTGGACACCATGTCTACGTAGCAGCCTGGAGGTGGCAGCAGCAAGCTTCACACAAGGTTGTCTGAGGCTGAAACCAAAACTAAACTACAAGTAAAAAGGAGTTTCTAGGTGAACTGTTTTCTGTTGGAAAAATGTAACCAAGGTGAACCAGTAGCTATGAAATTGCACTAATTTTAAAATGACGCAAAATATTAGAGTAGAGGCATTTAATAAATTACATTGCATGCCTTATTTTCATATTTATTGAAGCTTGTGGACTTTGCATGCAATAAATGTTTCAACACTGAGGTCTACATCTGTAAAAATGTTTCCTACCCTCTGTGCTCGCCTGCAATGCATGCTCATCTGCTACAACTAACCAAACTGCTATCTTCTGATCCCCTTGCAGTCCCTGAAAGATCTGCCCTCTTAGCATATCCTGTATTACTTGCTTGAGAGCGTCATTGACAGCAGCTTTCAAATGCTAATGCCACACTTGAAACCAACTCCACACTTTTTAAAGGCTTAATTATTGAATACATGTTAGAGGAAGAGCACACACCTGTTCGTGAAGCAGTTTTGGAGATGTCAGCTTTCCGAACGACATTTTGGCCAATAATGAATAAGGTTCCACACATGAATGAGATGCAATTTTAAAAATCATCTGGCTTGCTGCTGTATTGGTTCTTAAGCCCCTCTTTCAACATCAAACACAGCTGGTTACTGGATATCATTAGCATGTGGATACTTGACCGTTTTCTTTTAAATTGCACCTACATTAGGTACAATGAAGCTGCTGTTATTGGTTAATATTTTCATCTCTAAATCTCAAGATTTATTTTCTTGCCATGCTCATTAGTGCATGCATGGTAGCTGAAAAATGTTATTTAAATGTGATAAGCATGCACTTTGCACTGAACTGACTTGACATGCCTAACCACACTCAAAAAACACAAACAAAACCAAATCAATCACAAACTGACTAATGTACATTGCTATCTATATGTACATTAAAAAACTAAAACAGTCATGACATGAACCTCAAAGAGAAAATATCAAGGAAAATGTTTTGAGAACTTCATAAAAATCTATAAAAAACAACAATAAAGGATAATATAAGAGCCCTTAAAGGGGCACATCTTGTTTTTGTCATTCAAGACCAACCCAGCCAACATGCATATTCATTTTGTTCCAGCTGGATGGGTGCTGCATGGGCCTGCCCTCATAATGTGCTTCTGGATGCAATTAATTTATGTTGACTAAACAGAATCCATATTGGCAAAACAAGTTGTTCTTGTTTTGCCAAAACTACGCAGTTCTTAGCTAGATCTCAAACACTTCAAATGCACCAACTCTTTTAGAACCCATTTGTAACCCATCTGAAGTTTCCACTTTAAACATTTCGAATTCATGTGGCCCCATACAGATCCTTACACATAAATTGCAATATCTTGAAAGGCCATTGTATTTCAGTAATTTGATTTAAATATGGAAACTCTCAATTTGCATATTAGTGACACCCACAGCGATATATTTATTTAAGTCAATAACGATTACACCTCACAGCTGCGGAAAACCAAATAGTTGACTTCTCAGAAAGTCTTCTTATTCATTAAGACTATGAAGGACTTTTAAAACAAAAATATGGTGTTGTGGCCATACCCAACCACAGAGTAGACTGCTGATTTGAATTGTTTCCACTGTGGTTTCTTGCTGCACGAATCAAACTCAAGGTTTGCAGGCCAAATGTGGTCCACCATAGCTTGATGATAACATTTGTGCGCAGAAATATATATATTTTCTAAATGTGAAAATATGTTTAATAATGTTTAGCTTGAAGAAGTACTCAATGAATGCAAAGACAAATATTTCTTAATATTTAAACAGTTTGTTAATGGTTAGTTTTATCAGCACTGTCTGCCACAAGTGACCCATCAAGGAGAATTATGAGAATCAATCTTGATGTAGCTAAAAATGAAAATGAGTTTGACACCACTGTCCTATGAGGTACACCACAAAAAGGTAAACGCAAAAGCCATCGGCTGTTCACAAAGCACTGTAGGCGTGCAATGAAAAAAGTTGAGTTGAGAGAAAATAGTGCTGGAAAAAGTTGACCAGACTGCAGGGATTAGCACAGGCTTGGGAGGATGATGAAGCAAAAGCCACACATGAGCTTGGGGAGATCAACAAGGTTTGGGCTGCAGTTGGAGTCGGTGCTTTATGAGCCTCCACACACAGACATATCCAGGACATGGCCTACAATTGACATACTCCTTGTGTTACGTATCTCCTGAACTTTAGACAATATCAAGACTATTTGACTCAGGGAAATGATTAGACTTAGTTTGGTGATCCAAAGTTCTATTTTCAGATTTTCATTAGTTCTTCATTTATTTTAGAAACCAAGGTTCCAGAGTTTAGAAACAGATAAATGAGGCGGCTTAAAGTCCACTGTGGCATTTCCACAGTGTTTGGGGAGCTCTGCCAGTGTTGTCCAATGTGTTTTATTAAGCCAGAAGAACATCCATCTTCCAGATAAGTTTAGATCATTTTCTTCTTCCCTCTCTTGACAAGCTTGTGTGGAAATGCTGATTTCATTTTCCAGGTGGACTAATCACCCACCCACACTACATGTGGGATACCCGGATTAATGTCCATTGTATCACTGTAAAAATAGTGGCCAGCAACACTAAGCATCAATCTGTGGGATGCTGTCAAGAGGAAGATTAGAGAAACCTCACCCTACAGTATAATAAATATTAATTTTCCCTGGACAAATATTTCTGTGTTAAACTTATGTGATGTTTGAATTGTCTGTCCCCCGCTCCATTAGCATTATATTTAAAGTATCATTTGAGAAGTGGCTGTGTGTTCAGTTGTGTGAGGTGGAGCAGACGGGCTCATTCAGTTGCATCAGCAGCGCCACGCACATCTATACAGACTGTTTAGCAGCAGGCGTCGCTTGTTCCAGTCCCCCGCCAAACCTCCTCCACGCCTATGACAGCAAGTCCAGTGAACCGTTTTACCTGAGCGCCGCATCTCGGGCGCTGATTGGTTCGCTGGGTGTCCGACCCCTCAGGTGACGTCAGGAGCACTGCTGCGGGTGAGGCGGCTGAGGCTGCCTCTCAGTCCAGCCTCAGTGAGACAGAGAGCCAGCCCTCTGAGCAGCAGCGGAGACAGACGCGGTGACTGGACCTCATTGACCCGCACATTCACAGGTAAGGAGGACTCACGTTGAACCGTCGGCTCAGTAACTTTATCTGTGACTCTCCGAGAGACCCAGCAAGGCGTGGCTTGTCGTGTTTGTTCTGACACCTTTCTCTCTCTCCCCCCCCTCCACACCTCACGCAACATTTATCAGCTGTTTATTTATCCGCCCCCCTTACATACTTATGCATACTTCATCACTAAAAGTCTGTTGATAAGCGCTTCACAATTAACTCAATTTGTAAGAACCCGCTGGCCATAAGTACAGTGGAGTCATTCTGTTTCGCGCTCTCATTCACATTTTAAAGAGAATCTCTATGTTGACGTGAAATTCGGCCAGCATTGAGGCTTTGAGGCATTTAGGCATTGAGGTGAGAGCTTTCTTTTCCCCCTTCACACGAGTCACTACTACAGAAGTGAGTACTACCGGAATTAATGTGGCTTAAGACGGATTTAAACTCTTTGGTGTGACTACTGACAAATACTTCAAGGTCTTGAGGACCTCCTGGTGGTGAAATTAATCCACAAAATACACAATCAGAGCTGCATTTAAGTTGTCATGATGTGAAATTCTCCTCTTTTTTAGCTTCAGTTCTGTCAGTTTGATGTCTTCCTCTCACATGTGAAGCGTGCTGATCAATTAATAGGTTCACATTAAGAGATTTGTTGTGCGTCATTAACACAGGCTGACCAATCGACCCCCATCATCAGGGAGTGGGTGCAGAGGGCTGATTGATATGCAGTCCTGCTGAGGCACTGTGCCAAGCCCTTGAAATCTGTTTTGTGAATCAAACAACAAGTGATGATGGCAGAGACTTGAGTTAATGAACTGTGAATCACACAGACTGCTTTTTCTGTGTTTGTGCTGGGAAAAAAAAAAAAAAAACATGTTGCACTTGGCACATCGGGGGAAAGCGATCGCCCACTGCTGTAGAGGCCTTGAGGTTCTGACTTCAGCAGTTTGACCTGATGAATCATTTTTAGTGTTATTGTTGTGTGAAATATGTGAATGGAGCTCTCTGTCTTGTTGACTCTGTCTGAATCAGGCTTTTTGCATGCTTTGGCCTGCTCATATCTGTGCTTGTCTACCATTTCCTCAGAAATATGAGATATTTGTGGTGATGCGAAGTGAAATCTGATCCAAAAATCAAGGGGCTGAAGTAGGAAAGGCATACCTTCTGGTGTCAGACTGCTCATATCGGTCAAGCTGAATTCTGCCAGTAAAATAATTCTTTTTATGTCTTATTCAGTCTGTTTACATAAATAATGCTGTGAAAAGCACCCCTTCACTCACAAATATCTTATGTTTTTGCTTTTTTTCAAACTTCACACTAATTTTATGTCAGATAATAATAACCTAAATAAATCCAAAAGTAGTGTTCGATAATATTTTATTCAGCAAGAGAATAATGCTATCTGAGTCAACCTGACTATGCAATTGCAATTGGCCTATAAACCAATAACTCTTGGGTATGTATCCTTTGGACTGAAGTCCAGACTTTGACTAAGCCACCCAAAACCCCTCTATTTTTTGCTTTGTTTGGAACTATTTTGAGAGGTGCAATTGCTGTTTCACATCATTATCACAAACTGATTGTTTGACATTTTCTATAAGTATTTTCTGTTAGAGAGCCTGTGGTTGATGCATGACTTCATCAACCACAGTGAGCCATCCAGGGCCTGAAGCAACAAAGCAGTCCAGAACGCCACAGTACTAGTTACAACAATGTTCAGGTGCCAGTATCGTGCATTTTGTGAAATGGTGTTTTAGGTAGGCACCAGGCATAGTGAAACACACCTCTTCTACAAATGTCCACCCTTGTCTCATGAGTTCAATGAATAGTTTACCAAAAGTTTAGAATAACCTTAAGGCAAATGAGAAACAAGCCCAATGCTCTTTTTGGTCTTTTTTCCTTGGAGCCCTTCCCCTTCTGCCCCTCAAGGGTCTTTCTGATCATTCAGTCACAAACATTGACCTCAGCTGAAGAATGTCAGGCCTGTTATGCTTTAGATGTCTTTCTTAGTTACTCTCCTATATTGTGGAAGAGTCCACAATTACCTGGGGTAATTTTCATAAACCAGTCATTGTTGGGAAGGTTCATCATTGTTCCAATGTTTCAAAGACTTAATAGTTTTGTAACCCTGTACAGACTTATTGATCAATGAATTTGTTTTTCAATTTCTTTAGCACTCCCTTTGGCCTACTTCATGTTGTCAAATACTTTCCATGGTCTGCCAAAATTAGGTCAGGTAAACACAGAATTCAAAAGATGTGTGCAGTCATTTTATAATTAGAGAGGAGGTGTGATTAACTTTTCCACGTAAAATAGATTTGGATAGACATTTCCCTTTAATAAATAAGTAATTATTTATATTTTAAAGTAATTCGGGTTTATTTCTGTCTGATAATAAAATTTATTGGTTCTGATAATAAAATTTATTGGCTTGTCGTGTTTGTTCTGACACCTTTCTCTCTCTCTCCCCCTCACGCAACATTTATCAGCTGTTTATTTATCTGCCCTCCTTACATACACTCCATCACACATTTAAGTGTGATGGAAAGGCAAAAAACTTTATCTAAATATGTCAAATCTCTTTCACTGCAATGTATGTAAAAAAATATTGACAAACTAATTAAACTAATTGGCAATTCATTGATCACAAAGGCTTTTATCTGTGGCCTAATTACTAGAGTTTTCTGGAAAACCCTTTACTGACTGACTGATTTTTTTTTCCCTTTTTGCAGAGTTTTGTTTTCCTAATGCAACAAATTAAAGTAACAAGCATTGATACTAGAAAGTGGTGGATAGTGGTGGTAATGGGTCAACATAAAATGAAGTGTATATGTACGAATATTCTTGATCTATCAAGGCATACACCGCTAACCATCATCTGATTTCTGAATAAACAAAGTACAGCAAAGAGAATGCAATTTTTTATGCATTTAAAGGATGAGAGAATTTATGTTTTCAGCTTATGAAGAGGATAAGAAAAATTGAGAATGTCAGAATTTGACTTTTTGATTATTAGTCAGAATCAGTGTAAAATATGGCAATTTACATCGCTGGCAAACTTGCTGGTGTGTCACCATTAAAAACAACACTTATTATGAATAAACAGACAAGCATAGCACACTTCAATCTACAAATAAAAGATTTATTTTGAACAAAGGCAAGTGTAAACAATGTCATAGAGCACAAGCTTTTGTCTGGTTTAATGGTGGATGGCAAAGCAGTGTTTTTGTTCCATTAGCACCACAAAATGGAATGAGGTTGCTAATTAGGATGCCAACTACGACCTCTATCCGGTTCTTTATGCCACTGAAAGTACCATCACTCTGTGGTCCTCTCCTTCTGGTTGGTGCATACACAAAGGATGCATCTCCTGTGATGCATAGCTGCACCCATGACGATAAATATTTAACAGAGCACCTGATAAATGTTGCCTGTGTTCAAATGACAAATTATAGAAAATAATCGATGTCATGGTGCTGTTAAAGTTATGATTATTTTTAGGATTAGGCCATAGTTCAGCAAATGTAATCAGAAAAGTGTTGAGAACAACAACTGTTGGTTTCCAATTTGGGGAGAATCCCAAATAGGAAACACCTCCTTGTTTTTATTCTCATATACTGTAAGGATGAATGTCCACAATTGTGTCATAATAGCTAAGAAAAAAAATATTTGTTTATTCAGCCCTCTTATATTCAGCACTTAATTACCACGTAAGTGCTGATTTCCAGTCAGGCAGTTACTCAGAACAGATATGGGCATTTGGGAGGGGTCATCGAAATGTTTGACAGGTGCTAGAAAAAAGTCTTCACCACTTGTTCCACACATTTCAACATGTAGAAAATCACTCCATGCAAATAAATGAACTCTTAAACTAAATACTGTTTGTTTAAATGGTTGGGGATAAAATGTTTCAGTGTGGAGCCCTGGCAAAACAAAGAGTGAAATCTAAACATTTTTTAAAAGTATTTTCCTGCTATAGTGGATTTGGCTCTGCAGGAATATTGTCCCTTGACATGCAAAGTTGGATGAGAATTCCCTATGGTTTGGACCCTGCCAGAGATGATCTTTGCAGATATGACATAATAAAACTGCAGTTGAGTCAAAAGAGAAAAGAGAAACACCTTTTTCTAAAAATGTGATTACTATTACTGCATCTGAACTCTAAAGAGAAGTAAAGCAGTTTTGGGAAAATGAGTGGATTTGTCCAGACATGTGCAGAAATGCAAATTTTAAATATGTGTCTTTATTGGTCATGTTAGACTGTTTTTATGTTTGATTCTTGTGTGTGTGTGCATTTGCTTAAAAGGTTTGAAACGGTTTGTTGTGTATCTAAAAGAATTGCAGTAACCTTTACACTAATAAATGTTACTCCATGTCAGTTTGTCAAAATCAATCGTCACGTGTACATGTGTGTGTTTCTTCTGTCCGCTGCATATCACAGGAATGGGAAACCAGTGAGTACAGCGACTCTCTCTGTGGGGAAAAAAAAAAGGATGAATGCTGCATGTGACGTTCTGCTCAAGGAATGTGGTTATTATGTTGTGCATCTCCTAGCATCGGGCTTCTTCAGTCCTCTTACTCCCTGGGGTTTGAGCACCCTGTTTTCACCTACTGGTCAAAAACACGTCATCAGTGGAACCCGCGGAGCCTCTTTTGGTCCTCCTACATGCTCATCCAATGCCTGCATGTGTTTTTCCTCCACGATCCCCTGATGTTTAAGCTTTGCCCCTTTTTTTGCCCCTATCAATGTGAAACTTCAGCCTTATTCTGCCGTTTATAGCATTTGTCTGTTTGACAAACAGACCCACTTGCTCATATCTGACTATGTTCTGAAAACTCCAGTGGCTTGAAACCGTTTAGAGTGCCTTGCTAAAGTATTCATACCTCTTGAACCATTTCAAAAAGTGATAAATGTGACATTTGTGTTCAGACCCTCTTGGTTGCAATGGATTTCAGTGCAACCAATTGTCTTACTAAGTTGCCTCATTAGTAGTTCACCTTTTTGGTGCTTCATTTCAGTGATTGTGCCAAATATTTTTAAGAAAATATTTCTCATAAAGACCAATGCACCACAGAGGTCATGGAGAAAAGAGCGGAAAGGTTTAAAACAGGATTAGTTTGTTAAATAATATCTTAGTGCAGGCATGTCTCAGAGAACAACTCAACCTGTCCTCTGAACATGGAAAGAACATAGCATAATGAGAAACTTATCAGGACTTTAGTTGTTCAACAAACATTGACATGCTTGGGCAGGAATAGCATTAATCAAAGTAGTTTCCTAGAAACTAATCGCTGGGAAAAATCTGGCTTTTTGGAACAGTGGCAAGAAGAAAGGGCACTATTACATTTAAGTACACTAACGGTATGTCACTAGCAACATAGCCTACATAGCAAATATGTTGAAGAAGATGAGACCACATTCATGCCACACTTTGAATTAAAATGAAAAATAAAACAAAATGTAAAAATTAAGTATCTACATTTCTTATGCACTACTTTGTACTTGTCTATCACATAAAAACCTGGCAAAGTACACTGACATTAACTTGTAACAAACCAAACGGGCAGAAGTTCAAGAGAAGTGAATACTTTTAGATCGCACTGACTGTTGTCTCGTGGGGACTGCAACCTGCAGCCGCTTAAGCCAAAAGTATGAATGGAGTTTTAGATGCATACTGGCATTCGCTCGGCATAGCAACCTGCAGAACCTGAATGCACATCAAAACCTAAAAAGTTGATGCATTCAGATTTCACAATACCTTTCAGTATCACGTTTTCTCAGTGCATGAATTATCATCTATATCTCCACATGAGCAAGGTGAGATGCTACAAACAAGGTGGATGTAAGAGGCGCTTTTATTGTTTCTCTGGCTTCAGTTTGTGCAGTTCTTTCTTATTTTATTGACTTCTTCCTCGCTGGAATGGGTTTCTATGTCTTTCTGAAATGTTGATGAGCAGATAAAGAAGATAAAATGAGAAATGTGAAATGATTTATTTATTTTTAAGATCTCTATGCAGTCTTTCCGTTGGTTAATACAAGCATCTTCCCTGCAGTGAATCAAAGTGATGTCTCAGATTTAGTTTTGATCAATCAAATCTGCAAAAACATCTGGGTTTCTTGACAATGACATGAAAATCCAAACACATTCCTCCCAGTAGTTTTAGAAATCAATTAATATTGTTATCCCATAATAATTGTGTCCATAAGGGCAATTATAGGACCTTGCTTTATTTTTATGTAAGGGAGCTGGAAATAATTTTCTAAGGAATTCCAAATGATGTTATCTTCATTCCAGAGTGCATCCCAAGCGTCTCTTTTTCATTCACCCAAAGATCCAACAGCACGCTACTCGAGATAATGGTTTCTTAGAAATGGAGTAAACTCAATAACAAAAAGTTATTCTTTTGCCATTCTCAGTTTGGATTAGGATAAACCATCCATTTTTATTAATGTCTTAGAACTTTTGAATCATTTTGTTCCTCCTACACAAAGTTGTATTACTGGTTCTTTCTTGACATCACTCAGATTTTTCTAAATAAAGAAATAAAATTTTGGACTTCCCCCTGATCAGTTTTCAGACAAAACACATACATAAAAATCATGCACTGTAATGGATCCTCATCCCACAACAACCAACTGGTGTCAAGTTGACATGTGCACTTAGGCATAGAATTACACCCTACTCTTTATTTTTTGTTAACTGTAGAGCTGGTGTTAGATGCAGGAAGCAGAGGTTGCAAAAGGAGATTTACGAGCAAATGTTTTACAGACATTCAATGAGACTTCCTCTTTGTTGCTTCCCTTAAGTTCATCACTTTGCATGCCATGTTGTCAAGTCTAACTCCGTGACATTTCCCTTTGGTCCTGCCTTTGTAAATAGATTGCAGATGAATGGGAAACGACTAAAGTATACAGCTTAAACCAGATATTTACATGCACTGTGTAAAAAGACAGTGCATGACTGCTGTTTCATTGGACACAATGTTTTTGGAGAAAAATATGGGAATGCTTGACATTTCTGTTAGAGACCTCTGTCCCCAACACTCATGTCACGAAACAATAGTAATTTTCAGTATCCAATCAGACTGTTTTATAAAGTATTAAGCTAAAAAGCTTTCATACAATTTCAAACAATGCATTACATCATCTCATATACACAGAGTGTAAAGTTGCCAGGCGGGCAGCAGGAGCAGAGGAGGAGTGAGGCGTGCTGAGATGCACGGGGGCTATTTTAGTAACTCGAGGTCTTTCGTTATAGACACTTTCCGGGCTTGTATGACGAAAACTGTGACAGCAAGTTCCCTTGCAGCACCCTGAAAGACTGGCAAGGACATCTGATTGTGAATTTCTTTGGAAGGAGGAACTGATAAGAAATTGTGACATTGATGGGGTGTTTGTGTTGATCCTTGGCCCACAATCTGAGTATTACACATGATGTATACCTCAGCAAATATTACGTTAAGTGTCTTGCAAAACCAGTGATACCCAAGAGCACTTTTTCACTTTTGTTTTGTATATTTACAGACACAATCTTTAATACACTTAATTGGCAGTTAAAAGTTATGAATACTTGTACAAGTAATTTACAAACTTTACAAGTAAGTAATTTTCAAAATAAAATATTAATGGTATATTGAGCCCCGTTCTTTGACACACTGAAATGAAATCTAGCTAATTGCCTTCATAAGTCTTTTAATTTGTAAAAAGAATTAATTGCCTGTGTTTTATTTAACCTTAATATAAGCATAGATTTTCTCTTAATGCCACAGAGGATATAAAACAATAACCCATGATTGAAATGCTTAATTTCAATCATAAATGAAGCAACCAAAGCAAACAGATAACATCTTTTGCTTCCAGTGACATCCTATGATTTTTCAAACAGAATCACTGTATTTTGTATGTGATGAAGATTTTATTTTATCCTATTTTCTTCCTTACTAGTATTGTTTCTGACTGCCACCACAAGAAGATGCCACTGGGTGAGGACGGACATGCCTGGAAAAAGAAGACCTCTGATGTCAAGGAGAAGTATGATTTCAAAGACATTCTGGGAACGTAAGTGTTTTTGCCACCAGCAAATAAACCTTTTTATTTTTGCATGTTCAACATGTTTAAAATGTATTTTACTTCCAGTGAAATAGTGTTTAAATGCTTCAATGCTGCTTGTGTAGATGTCAGCTCATGAACTTTTGGGCGTTTATTTGGGTTTAATCTGCAGTTGCAGATCAATGTCAGCTCCAGTTTCACAAACAATGCAAATAATTAAGAAAAAGATTTTAAAAATTATTTTACCTTACTTTGTTTGACAAGTAAATTATTACTTCCTTTGAATGCAGTGTTTTCCAACTCGATCAGTGATTACGACTGTGCACTGGCTGGATTATAATAAGAAGACACAGTGCTGAACTGACTGACAATTTCTCTGGTTGTGATCAGTATTGCCTTATGCAGTGTTTTACTTCTCACACTTGTTGCTTCACACTGCTGGTCAGCTGGCTGAAAGAGGGCTACTAAATGTTTGGCTCACTTACAAGAAAGACAAATCCACCTTCCTTCTGAATTGTTTTGTGTGGTTCAAGAATGTCAGCAAATGTTGTTAGGGCTAAAGTTAAATGTCATCCATAGTATTTGCCTTTTGTAATCCATGTTTCTTTTTAAAATTTATTTCATATTAATTATAAAAAGAACCACAAAGATCCATCTACTTTTACTTGAAAGTCAACTTAGTATTTTCACAGGTGTTTGAAAATACTAAGACGACAGAGGCTCAGAATGTAGGAGTTCATCCTGTAAATCATATATTGCTGCTTCAATCCTCTCCTTGCACTGCTGCTGATGGTCAGGTGATGCTACTTGTACGGCTGCCTCAGTCTACTGCAGGGCAACTATGGCTACAATTAGTTGCCATACACCATCAGTGTGTGGCTGTGTGCTTGAATGAATGAATGTCTTTTGGACTAGATAAGGTGCTATACAAATACATACCATTTACCATTTTTTCCCCCTAAAATAACAATAAAGACATGTTCTAGACAACATTATAATTGTAATAATCAAGAAATTGCATAAATTCAGCAGACGTATGAATCGGTGTTGATTACTGTGTTAACAATTAAAAAATCTGCTTTACCAAGTCTTTGTAAAAAGTTATTTTTGTAAGTACTATGTCACCAGAAAACTTTACCATTTTTAGTCATGGTTTTCATACTGTGAGAAACTCGTATACTTTGTTGAACAACTCTAAACTGAGCGGTGCTGAGTTATTTTTACGTCTGTGTCTGTTAGTAATTTCAGCAACAAACACACAAAAATAGCCATAGACATCGTTTTGTTTTACACACACGTCCTCATTTAAAATCTAATTTTTCAATGCAGTCATTTCAACTTGATAAAATCATAGATTGCATATTGCACATTCATCAAATTACATTGAATTTTAGGATATCTCTAGATTGTGTCACTTTGCGCTATTACAAACAGAGTGACCTTTTTTGGAGCACAAAGTTTTTCTGGGTAATTTAGAAGAATTACCTTGAAATTCTGTTAGTAGTCAGTAAATATCTTATGTAATACAGAAAAAAACCGTTTGTAATTAAATAGCCTTCTAACTCTGTGTTCCTTGGTGGAGCTTCAGATATTGAATTTTGTTGACAATGTGTCATGTGAAACCTTTTACTCATTCTTACAGCCTCCTTGAAGTGACCATAAAACGGTATAACACAACATTAGAACTCTGAAAGCAAACTTTTGTCATTAATGTTATATATTTAGAAGTTTTGTCATAAATATGTTTCATTTATACATTTTTGTTGGGTTTATTTAAACCCAAAAACTTGAGGCTAAAAGGAACCGCTAATTCTGTTTGCTGTGTTAACCTCTGTTTATATTGTAATATTAACAGTAGATGTTTCCCTAAGGTGTCGCACCTTTTCAACACGCCCACATCCCTGTTTGTCCAGGATTAAGTCACGTGAGAAGCAGGTCCCTCCAAGTTAAAACAGGCACATGTTTAGTGTTATGAAATTTTTCTGACCTACCTTAATCTTAATCTTGTGCATGGGAAGAGGAAGGGAAATTGTGGCAAATTGTGTAATAAGCTTCTTAAGTTGTTTGCTACACGGCCACTGTGGTTTGCCTTTACCTTTAAGTCTGCTTAATGTTGTCAGGTTTTATACAGGTGAATCCTTGATTCTTGGAGTCTGACACTTATCAGGTGTGGGCGTAAAATTAAAGTCAGTTGTTCTAATTCATAATTTAGAAAAGTGAAAATATTTTTTTTTACTTTGGTGAAGGTGCTTTCACTGTAGGAGTGAAATCTTAATTTTAAAATATTTATTTTGTTCTTATTAGATTTTCTCTGTCTGATATTTAAACTTGTTGGTTGATCTTGTTAGTGTGACAAAACTGAAAAAAATTGTAAAAAAGAATTACTTCTTCATAGCACTGTACTTATTATTTCACAAAAATTTACTCAATTATAAATTAAAATCTCAAGCCCAAGAAGAATGTTTATTTCGCTGACCACATTTAAGATTTATTTTCAAGATGTTAGGACGAAAAATTTCATTTCAGACATAAGCTGACGAGATGTGTGGCCTGTCGCAAAACTCAAATAAAATGCCTTTTTTCTACTTTCTGTAAATGGATTTAAGTGCTACAAGGTGACAATCTTTCATGTGGAATTCACTCTTGCAGAGAAAAAACTCCAAGGTATCCATTTTCAGTATCAGTAAGTCTGAGGAAGCTCAAATGGCATAAGAAGCTCTTTAAAAGGGGACTGTGTTTTCTAAAGATGTGGATCAGCGTTTTAGTCAGGCTATGAGCTAGACTTTGGTGCGTGGTGATAGCTAAAATTTAGATTATTGAAGAAGAAATGAATGCAACCTGGCTGTTGTTTATAACGCTACAATTAGGTCTCTTCCATCCGTGTCCCATGAAGCCGCTTTTGCAAGAACTAAATGAACAATCCCATCTGAGCCCAGTTAATGTGCTCATACATGAAAAGCCTTCCCATCCTTTCAACACTGTCGCTGTCATTGTTCCAGTTCCCCACCTGCCCCTGGATCGGGACTGAGCCCGTCTGTGGAGAGATCACCTGCTCGCTGCCATCGCTCAGCTGTGTGCACCACATCCATTTGCCATTGCTGGATTGTTGTCTTGGTAACAACAGGAGATACTTTCCATAATGGACTCAAGCAGTCTCTATGGAAACAAAGTTTTTGATTTGCTATTAATAATCCAACACTGGGTACATATGTGTGCATTGTGCATGAGATCAACCCGCTTACATGAGAGAGCAACTAACGAGCGTTCAAACATTTGTTTAATTTGATGACATGTCTCTCACATTTCCACAATAAGGGGGTCGTTAGTGATGTTGCAAAACAATGGACTTTTAGGATAAAAGTCCATTGTTTTACCTGCCATGTTTGAATAAAATTTAATTAAATACAAAATAAAGTGCTTTGTTCTTAACAGCACATTATGTATGCTTTGTGGCTCTAATCACAAATACTCATCTGTGATTTAAAGAGGCCAAGTACAAAATAATGGAGTAAATCTCTCACAATATCAGATATTTGAAGAAAAAGCTAAATGAAAAATACAAATTTTGTCACAATTGCTTCAAGCAATCTACATGTGACATAATAAATGCTAAAAAATACTAAATGCTGTGTATGAATCTCTGTGGCATGTGTTTATTTGTACTGATAATCCCCAGCTAAAAAGCACATGTCCTGTAATCAAAACAGATGGGGATTAGCAAAACAACACTGGGCAACAGCACTTTAACTACAATCAACTCAGATCCTCATCTGCCTCCCTTCTTTATTTTAATTTCTGTTACTATTTTAATCACCCTCAGCCATTATCCCTGTGTCTGAGGGATAATGTACAGCATAAAGCAGCGTCCCTGCTGCCAGAAATCCAGACCTATTCTAGGTAGCCTTTGTTGTCACCTGCTCTGTGTCCCAGATTCACACCGTGTTTGCTGTGGAATAGGAATCCCGACGTATCCTGCAGCGCTTTGAGTTCTGTCTAAAATTAGGATGTTCGCTACGCAAGGATGAGGACACAGAACCGTGCCCTTGACCAAACTGTCATCAGAGTTAGAGTCAGTAAAAATGATGGTTGGTTGCAATATTGAAGTTGGGGAATAAGAAAAAAAAGTTGACTTTGGCATTGCATCTTGTGCATATACTGAATAAACCTTTGTAATGCTTCAGTGACAGGACCTTTCAAAAGTGTTCATAGTCCCTGAATTATACGCATTAAGTGATACACTAAGACAACATGGTGCATAACTGAAATGGCAAACGTCATGTCTACTAGTTTTTCATCACCTTTCCACCAGTTTTGCACATCTAGAGACGGAAATGTTTACTTACTAAGATGTGTAAAATTGTTTTCACGCACACAAAGAGCATGTGTGAACGTCAATCTCCAAGTCCTGAAGCAAATTTTATTGAGAGCTGCATGCTGACTGGACCATTCTAATCCATAAACTTGCTTTGATTTAAACCATTCTGTTGTTAGCTTCATGGTTGTTGTCCATTAATAACCATAATTAACCATAATCATTATTAAATTCAGACTAATTTTTCTCTTTGAGATATGTCTATCGTGTGGGGAATTATGTGTATCGCATATGATACACACGTGGAATTGTATAAGTTTCTACATTGACATATTCAGAATCCACATGTGTTTATGTGCTTTTTCATGTGACTCACATCATTCATAAATGGAAATTTGTTAGTAGCACACAAATTGTGTGAACCCAAGTGAAATTCATGGTCTTTTTTGTAAGGAAAGCCTTTTGCAGCCTCTGTCAGGGTTTCTTCCTGGATTGACCCACTTCCCTCACTCTTCCAAAGAAAAACATCCCAACAACATGATGCTGCCACTCCTATCTTTCACAGTGGGGATGATGTGTTCAAGTTTTGTTGTGTCAGTTTTCGAATTCGCATCGTGTTTTGCACATGCAGGTCAAAAAGCTCAGTTTTGCCCAAGTTTAGCTTAGATTTTTTTAAATACCCAACTAATAGCGCTTC